AGCTACTATTTTAGACGTTATCTGGAATAAATTCAAATGCATGTCATTCTAGCTCATATTTAAAGAAAAAAACATTTAAAAATCCTAACGATAGCGAGGATAAATTTTCGGTAGGTGGCCAGATGATGGAATGGGTGAATCAAGCAGATCGGTTCGTTTCGGGCAGAATCTGACATTTACATCAGCTCAAATTGGTCCGATTGCAGCATGTCTATTACCAAAGGGAGCCACTTCAACTCATCCGCAAATTAAAAAGTGAAATTTTAAGCTTTCCACATCGTAGATGGAGGAGAGCTCGCAACTCTAAATATCACCGAAGAAATTAGGGCAGCATCATTGAAAGTAAAGAAAGAAAAAGAGGGAATAACCAGATAGGGACCAATAAATAACCTAGTGACTCGTAGAGTAGAGAAGTTAGAGTTAAGGTGGGATGGAGAGCGGACAGAGAACGGAGAGGAGAATTTTGGAGGGAAAACTGGAGCCGGTGTGTACTTTTGTAAGGGGTTGAAGAGTCAATATTTTAGTAATTCTCCTCAATGTTCACGGAAGGGCATTTGGTCTAGTGGTATGATTCTCGCTTAGGGTGCGAGAGGTCCCGAGTTCAATTCTCGGAATGCCCCATAATGTATGTTGAATTTTTTTTCCATGTCTTCTACAGTCATATTTGCATGTTTAAGACGGTGATGCCTGGTTTTATGCCTCCTCTTTTACGGCCATATTTCTTTCCTTCGGGTGCAAGAAGTCGCGAGTTCAATTCTTGGAATGCTCCAATTGTGTCTTTTGCTATCCCTAAAACGCAGTACTTTTTCCATGATTTTTAAAACTTAATTCTTTAGAGAAGTATTTTATTGTTTTTCTTATTTTAATTAGTTAAAATTATTTGTTCTTATTTAATATATATATATAATAGTAACATCTAGTCATAATTTATATATGTAATAATCTATGACAAATTCAACATTACATATACTTTTAGTCTTACAACCATATACTTATATTTATACCTAATCATAAAAAACAATTAACTTTGTCTATTCTAATTATGTTATTTTCTCCTTCCTTTTTGATCGTTATATTTCGTTGTTGGTTATTTTCATATTTATTCTTAATCAATTATTAAATTTTGATTATTTGATACGTAGAATAATAGTTTATATATTTAAAGTATAATTAATAAACTTTAATTATATCTTTCATTATACAAACTCATTATATTTTTACCTAATAAAAAAATTATATAATTTAAATTGGTCGCTAAATTCGAGTTAACATTATTGTAATTGATTTTGAATTCTGTTTTTACATATTCTTTCAATTTGCATTTTATTTTTTCCATGTAATTTACACTTAATCCTCCTCCAACTTGTATGATCTTCACTTAGTTTACAAGAGATATTGAGTTCAATTTACATAACGTTTCAAATCTTTCTCATATAATATTCCATTGTAGTTATTCATGTTTAAATTTACATTTTATTTTCACTCATGTGCATTTTAATCATATTTAAGAATTATATATATTTATTTCACATTAATTATAACCATTAAGCATCAATACAAAAGACAATGAAGGTGTTTAATTGGATTTATTTTTGGATCAAACATGTAAGAATACATTTGGGAGCGGGATGAAAGCAATCATTAGAAAAAAAAATAATAATTATGTATTAAACTATTTAAGAGAAATATCAGAATTGAAGTATAGAAGATTTATTTATAGAATAAGAAAAAAAATTTATCTCCAACTTTTCTTTGCAACTCTCTTTTTTTTTTTTTTTCTTTCACTAATGAATTTTTTTCTTTTGAATAAAAGTATTGTAAATTTATAGGTACCACCCATTTACATCTCAATTACAATCCAATGAATATAATCCATGACATTTCTTATATCATCACTAATGACAAAATTTTAAATAAGAACACCCATAATTTATAACTTGGTGGTTATAACTAAATTTATTTTTTAATCTATAGTCCAAATTAAAATTGGATTCGATCTAAACTGGAGTTTATGGTCTCATATTTTTGAGATGAAAGAAATTTAATTAAATGTTGTCTGATTTATCTAAATAGTCAATTTCAGTTTAAACTACGCACACTCCTAAACTTAATCTTTTACATAAAAAGTAATAATCATACTACTAGACTAAATTACTTATTAGAATTTTTTCAGGTGAAGAAAACTTAAATTTTTATTTATTTCACTCGTTTCAAAATTAACAACTTAAAATATTTTTAAATAGATTTACATTAAATTTAAAAATTTTAAAAATAATTTATCACTATTTAAAATATAAATATAAATCAAATCTCCTAAATAATTAACTCTCACTAATAACATGATTTTTTAAAAATAAATATATTCTAAATCTAATTAAAAATAAATTCTATTTGAATTTAAATTAATAAATAAAATAAATTATAATTTCTAAAATTTATCTTCCTAACAGTACCATATAAATTTTCATATACCTTATAACTAGCAATCTTAATTAGAGGTGAGCATCCATTTAGATTTTAATGGAGACCAATGAAAATAATTTTTTAGACCGAAGAGCGAACAAAAAATATTATTTCGGTCTGGTTTGATTTTTTTGTGCAGACTGAATGACACTTCGTCCTTCATTTCAATTATTAGAAGTACAGTAACCATCGAAAATCTTACTGAGTATTTCACACAATGAGACCAAATTAACTATTTAAAGACAAAGACCCATTTATGAACTTGTCTTTGCGACCACTAGGGCCCTTGAATACAATTCTCAAAGTGTCCCAAATTTTCTTTTTGAATTGCGTCCGCAACGGTAACCAACTAGAAAGTGATATTTACTCTTTCAATTTCATTTTGGATTTAACTTTACTCACTAATGCAAATATGTTTACTATGCAGATCAAATCTCTTATAGTATATGCAAGTCTGTCCTCGTTTACCCCTTGCATAGCCTATCGTAGTTCATACAACCGCAAATCATTCCCCTTGATTTCCAAATTTGAAATTCTTCCTATCAAAGAATAAAATTTTCCAAAGTCGATTATATACTCTTTATCCTATCCAACCATAGCCTTAAAGAGCATTGGCTAGGCATGGACCTCTACAGGCAGAACAACCTTCACATGGGCTGCTGGTTTTTCTTTCCTCTGGGAGTGGGGGTAGGGAGGATGTAGAAGAATAGAAACACGAGCTGGTTCCGGTATTACCTACAAGAGACTTCCACCACGCATGCTACAGGATCTGTTTCGGGTCAAAGGGCCATAAACATAGCTTCTGCATATCCTTATAAGCCTTGAGCGGCTACAAGTCATCAATAAACTAATGATGGTTAATCTGTCTGGTATGACTCCAGATGCTACACTATCTTCATATTGTTCTAAATGGCAGGCGATAAGTACATCTCAAACCTAAGTAGCATTGTATTCGAAGGTAATAGATCCTTGTCAAGTATATTACAAAACTTGTACAGCTTGACCATTCAATATCTGTCACTGTTAGCATACACGTTAATCAAACCATTGCCAACATCACCGTAACCTGATGTCGAATATCAAGTTTGAGTTATAGCTGTTATCCCGATGGCAAACTTATTACTATGGCCATATCAAGATGCAGACACATTGAGCTCCTTTCAAGTACACTCTACAACTGTATCTGAATTCTAACTTGTAACCTCCATACAAAAAGAACAGAAACTTGAAGTCATGAGCTACTATTTTAACGGTCTAGTACACCCAAACTTAAACAGACATAAAGGGCAGCCCTCCAATTGTGAAATCATCAGAAGTACACCACCTTTTCTAACTTCAACAAAAGATCTAAGAGCTTGCTCCCCATCCCAACTAGCCATACCTTTGCTATCATGTATATAGAAAAAAAACAACATTCTTACCAGGAACTTTCTGAAACAAATTACGGATTCATTAATGTCTGCTATTTTCATAGGGCCCC